AAGGAGGCCAAGCTTCTCGACCACCAAATAGCTGACGCTACCCCGTGGCGCAGTAGAAAGGGTTGGCCCGCCAGTGTCACACCAGGGGTTCTGAGCGACCGTGGGGCAGTAACGCGGGGACCTGTCATCTTAGTTCAAGACGGGTACGATTCTGCGGTAAGGAAAGCCGAGCAGCCCGCCAATCCGCCGTGTGGGAGAGCTACAGCCGTAGGTTTGCAGGTGCCAGGACACGCCCCCTTTTTGCCAACCTCGGCCTACCTTCTGGACACGGTCGGCGCGAATCAGTTCAACCCCAACTTGCTTGCCAGCCTCGCGCATTTCAGCCAGATGCATTGCGCGCGCATCGCTTCCGCGGCAGATGTTCACTTCTCCTCCCGCCAACCTCAACAAGAGAAGTATCTGCCCGAGAGCGGGCTTGCGACCTTCTCCCACGACCTCCCCAGAAGGCCAGGAGCCTGATTGATTTCTTCCTCGTCTCCGATTGCTTCCAGGACTACGTGAGTAAGCCCAAGGTCTTCAAGGAGTGCCCCTATCGAGCCCCCGCGGGCCAGTTCATTTCGACTTCGCCGCAGATGGGCCCTTCCTGGCGCCCGTTCTGGCAAAGCCCCGGAAGCTGCCCACCGAGCTCCCCGCGGGGCCCATAGCCGAGCCAGACCCTGGATCAAAGCCGAAGCGGCCCTGGACCAGTGGAAGCCTTCCTGGGCCCGAAACTTGACTGCGCGGTCTTCGACGGGGCCCTCGCCCAGACCTACGAGGTCCTGGTTCGCGATTTTACAAGCTAGTTACTGTGAGAGACACGCCCCAACGCAGCGAGAGGCCGAGGGGCCAATCACATCGGCCGAAGTGGATCCCTGCCCAGGCAGCCGCGAACTCAACGCTGCAGTTGGCGCTCTCTGCCTGGCCCGCTTCGCTGGCTTAAGAACAAGGTCACTTATGTCAGGCGAGCCCTTGACACATCTGAGGACCTAGAGGGCGACGTCCAAGTGGCTCCAGGGGGGCCCTGGACCGCCCCTAGCGTTCTTGTGCAAAGCTGGCGAACTCGGAGTCTTACTGCGAACGGGTCGAGCGTCCATCCGAACGGCCCTGGTCGATATTCGAAACGATGCCCTTGACGCCGCCACGGCGAAGGCACTGCTCGATGAGCTCTTCGAAGACGCCGACAGAGCCCTCGACCGAGAAGTTCCACGCAACCGCTCGACCGACGAGATAAACTAGACATACATAGTGGGTAAGAACCAGCACGCAGCATGAGGCGGGATGGGGCCGCCGCTGGAGTCAGCGCGTGGAAGCCCTTGCAATGTTGGAAAGCTTCTACCGCTAGATGGTCAGGCCGACTGCGCGACTTCCTAATGGCCGAGCCCGGGCACCTCTCGAACATTTTGAAAACGACGCCGAAAGAGCCCAAGCATTAGCGTGAGAGACCAGAGACCGCGTCAGAAGCCGCGGCCGAGCTGGAGCCCACTATGCCGACCTGGACTCGAGTGGCAGTGGAAAAGTTCAGCCGCAATTCGGCCTCCACTAACGACGGTTTTCACCCTCGGCACTTTTCTCTCGCGGGTGGCGACGAGCTGGAGCTCGTCGCCGGCCTCGTGCGCGCGTTCGAAGCAATGGGGCCTGCGCCTTCCCAGGCGCGAGCAACTGTCGCCGCGTTCATCCCCAATCACAAGCAGCAGGAGGGGAAGAGCGACGCACCGAGCTGCATGGGGATTGGCCTTGGGAGCTCGGCCTGGCGCCACTAGGCCAAAATCCGACAGCCGCTCGACGATGGGGGCGTCAGAACAAGCGGCTCTACTCGCCCATCAAGGAGGAAGGGGGCCATTGGAAAACACGTTTTCCCTGCAGGCCCTGGGGGCTGAAAGTGCCCACTGCGAAGGAGTATCCAAGTTCGCGGTGCTCGGGGCCCCTCCAATGCATTACGAACGCGCCGTCAGGGACACGGTTTTCAAATACTGTCGGGGCAGTTTTCAACCGGGCGGTGGCGGCTCTGACTGCCGGCCAGCATGGCGCCCTCTGGGTCGTTGCCAACAGGTCCCAAAGCAGTTGTTACCGGCGGCCCGCAGTGCGGAGTTCCTGCGGGCTGTGAATCTGGCACGAGCGTCATCCAGATGCATTGCATAGTACCGCTTGATGTCTGGGTCCAGGGCATCATTGCTACGAATCCCATATGTTCGTAGATGGCATCTTCCACCAGGCCCACGACATGAACCCCGAGGGCCTCGCAAAGAGCCTCAGCAGAGCCTCTGAGAGCATGAAATAATCGAGACGCACCTGGATAGCAGCATCGCCCTCCGCAAGTCGGTCGCCCTCGGCCCCGCCGCCAAAGTTCGCGGCCCCGCTGGCTAGGCAAACTACCGGGGCCCCGGCCCCATGATCGAGTTGACGCAGCACCTGACCCCGGCATCGACTACGCGGCTGGAGGTTGCGCGCGAAGTGGCTAGGGACGCGCTGTCATTCGCCGGAGAGTTACGAAGGTGAAGTTGCGCAGGCGCAGGCTCCAGGCCATCGAGATGGCAGAGGCTGGCATGGGGAAGTTGCGCAGAACAGGCCAGGGCCGGGCCAATCACCATGGTGGCGAGGTTGCGGGGCTAACCGTTTCCGAATTTATCCAGTGCCAGGTAACGTATTTCACTGCGGTGGGACCAAGAAACCAAAACCCATCTCGCGCACTGCGTTTGCGCCTGCTGGGGGGCCCATCCTAGAAGGCCGCCCCGGGGCCAGCGATGCACTGCAGCCTAACTGGTCTGGAGGATCCAGCTCGAGCAGGGCTCCTGAAGTAGAACCATGTGGGCCTCCAAAGGATGGTTTGCCGAGTCCTCGAGAGCACCCCCCCCCAAAGGCTTTGAGTTCCTGCAGATGCCCCCTAGGTGCTGCGATCCTAAGCCGCAGGAGGATAGGTTGGAAGCTCACGAACCCGTTCGAGACCGAGACAGCCGACGTCCGAGTGCCACAGATCAGGGTCACCCAGCCAGCCCATCTCAAGTACCACCTCGAAGCCACCTGGATGGCGAAACTCGAGTACCGCGCCGCAGCCGAGCCTGGGGAACCAAACGACCACCTCCACCTGCTCAGCCGCCAAAGCCATCCTGGACTACCCTACCCTCAGCAAGGCCCAACGGGGCTGTCTGCTGGCCTGCCTGACCCAGTGCTTGGACAAAATCCCACTTGGCTCCTGCAGGTTACAAAATCGATCAGGAGTTCGACTGCTGCGGCCACCCGTCAGACGACATGCGCCACCGCTTCAACTGCCAGAGCGTGGATAATTAGAAAAGTGTGTTCCTAGAAGCCTCAGGCCTAGAGTATATCAGAGGGAGGGTGCCCAACGATGCCCCCCTTGCCCACGGTTTTAACATGTTTTCCGACCTCCTTCTCCATCGACCCATTGGGGTCGGATTTGCTTGGGAGTTTTGGTCCGAAGACGGCGAGCCCATGGGGGCTGCCATGGCTGGAAAAGGTTGTTTTGATGGGTGCTGCTAGAAGCGCGACCCTGCTATTTGGAAGCAGACGTGGTGGTCGGTTATTGTTAAAGATGGGCAGGGCGACTGCGTGGCTCTCCTGGCAGGACAGACAGGCGACGGCCTGCCGCCCCATCTCGGGAGCTGCGGAGCACGTCGGCCTCGCCGTCAGTCACGCGCGCCCGCGTCTCGCGAGAGTCTATCCCGAACACCTAGGAGCCATCGGAAAGTACAGCCAGCTAGGATTTGACAGACATGATCTGCACGATGGGCTGGAGCTCGCTGTTATAGGCAGACGCTTTGGAGGTGCCCCCACACCATCTGCAAAGTTAGGCCCATCAAGATTCAGACAACCCCCCAAAAACACCAGGGACAAGCGATTGGCCCCGGGGAACCCCGTTGCCGACAGAGTGGCCAAAGCGGCCGTTGAAAAGCTCGGGGACCCTTCGGAAAGTGGAATCCTACAGTGCCAGGCCGACCAGGCCTACATCGAACGATTACTGATATTTGCCCCACAAGCTATGAGGAATTCGCCCACGATTGCCCCCGAGCCTGGAGCCAGAGCTTGTGCAAGTCGTTTCCAAACCGCCAGTGGAGCCCATTGTGGGTGCCGCTCCCCTCGCCCCGACTCCTCTGCCTTCCCTTCCACCTGCTGGTCCAGGGGCCGACCGCGGCGCCCGCCCCTGGGGCTTTCGACAACAGGAGCAGCCCCACATATTGGCCTGGATTGTGAGTTTATGGCTGCGCGAAAACTGTCGCACCCGTGCTTTAACCTATGCCACCAAGGCCCGTCGCGATGCCGAGAGATGCCCGCGCCTCTCTCAGCTCCCCCTGAAGAATAACGGCCGTGACATATGCATGCTCGATCGCCTCGAAAACGAGAGCTGTGCCATGGCCTGTTGGGACCGCGGTGTTCATTCAGATTTCATGGCCAGAGGGTTCCAGAAAAAGTGTCCCCAGAGGTCTACGTTTAACGATAAGGTCGCAGCCTTGAATGGTTTTCGCATGTGCCGCCACCCCAAGCAAAGGGAAGACCAACCCCGCCGTTTTTTACTGCCCCCATAACTGTCGAAATGCTAATTCGAGAAGCGCACAGGGCAATGGGAATTTCAAGCAGCAGCAGCAGCAGCAGCGGTCAGTAGTTGAAAATCAAAAAACTGGCATTCAGTCAGATGCACTGGTCCCCCTCCCTCGTCTTCAAGCATCTCCTCCTCCTCCCCCTCCTTCGTTTTCCTGCTGCAGCCCTTCTTCTCCCGCCTCCCTCCCACTCTTCTTCTTGTTTATCATTATTAGTATTATTGCTGTTAGTATTCGCATCATCATGATTCGTATTACTGTTATTGTTATTATAATATTTATTATTGGTGTGACTACCATCATCATTAAGATTATCATCATTTCTATTATTATGATTGTTATTGTTGTTTTTGTTCTTCCTCATTATTGCCCCGTTCACCTTTTGCGCTTGCCCCGTCCCCCCGCGTGGCTTGCGGCCGTCCTCGCAGTGACCGTGGTGGCGGTTTTCGTCGTCGTCGCCGGCGTACCGAGGCCGGGTGCACGTCGGGTGGAGCGAGGTGCGTCAGCGAGCTTGGCTACCAAGCGGTGCCCCCAGCCCTGGGCGCTTTTACTCTTCTGTCTCCTCTTCCTCCTCCTCCCTCTGTTATCCTCCTCCTCCGCCTTCTCCTCCTCTCCCTCCTCCCTCTCCCTTCCTCCCCCTTCCCTCTCCTTCCTGGTCCTTCTTCTCGTTCATCCCTCTTCCTTATAGTCAATCTGATTCTGGAAAAAAACCCTGTCAGAGTCTTTGTTTGAACTTACGTGAGATCCATTTGCAATTGTTCCTTAGGTTCATGAAATCTGCGAGGGTTATGAAGGCCATGAGGGCTATCGGGCTATAAGGCTGTAGGGCTATGGGGCTGTAGGGCTATAGGGCTATAGGGCTATAAGGTTATATGGGCTATAGGGCTATAGGGCTATTGGGCTATAGGGCTATAGGGCTATTGGGCTATTGGGCTATGGGGCTATGGGGATCTATGGCTATATGGATATAAGGCTAGGGCTATATGTCTATAGGGCGATCGAGCACCTGGGCACCCGGGCAGCCGGGCACCCCTGGGCACTTTCAGGTACCCTGTGCACCTCTGGGCAGCCCAGGGCACCTGGGCACCCCCGGGCACCCCCGGGCACCCCTGTTTAGGTGGCTGTGATTGGGAGCTTTATATCGACCTGAAAACTGTGCACCCCCGGGCACCCGGGCACCTTGGCAGGCCACCGACATCGGCGACGCACATCACCTAACCATACGAATCCGTTAGGACCCCTACAGAGGCAAGCTCTGATTGGGGAACCTTTTCGCCGCGTCACCAGGCGCGTCGGCAGGGATGGGCGGGCGTTGCGCCATGGACTTCCTCACCATTTGTGTCCCTGAAGCTTGACGTTTCCAACATATACACGGATTGAGGGGGAGTCGCCTTCAACGTGTTTATCTCGCTTTGCTGCGCCGCGCGCATTCGTTGTGAACATGCCACACAGTTACGCGGACGGATGGCGACTCGTTTTCAAGCTGCGGTTGTCGCTTTTGCGCCGCGCACATTTGCCGACATGCTTCATGTTGGCGTGGGTTGGTGCCTATCTAAAGTTGGCTCCAGTCTTTATCGCCGCACTAACCAGCCATACCGATATAGGGTGGTTCGGTTTCCACAGTGGGGTGATCGCCTGAGATTTAGTTTGGCCACCAGAAAGTTACAGCTTTGCACCAGTTGCACGGATGAAGGGCGGCTCTTTTACACCATGGGGCTATCGTGTGAGTCTTGTTGCTCCTCCTCCTCCTCCTTCTCCTCCTACTTCCTCCTCCTGCCTCCTCCTCCTACCTCATCTTCCATCCTCTCTCCTCCCCCCTTTCTTCCTCCACCTTGGTCCCCTGTGCTCCTCCTCCTCCTCCTCCTCCTCCTCCTCCTCCTCCTCCTCCACAGGGGGGAGGGACAGGACGAGTGTAGTCTTCGGCGCGGGCTGCGCAACAGGCCTCGGGAAAGTTCGCTCGTTCTGGGATGGGCCACGACGCCACTCCCTAGAGTCTCTCCCTCCTCCCTCCTTCCCAGACCTTCGATGTCTTGCAAAAGTCAAGACGAAGCTTTGTTTGTCGTGTTCGGCCTCCAGGAGCCGTCTCCAGGCCCCGAGGCCGTCACACAAGAAAACGCTGTCCTGGATAGATCAAAAGGGCATGGAGAAGGGGTCGATACCATCGGATGTCGCGTGCAAATTGTGATGTCTGATGTCTAGGTCTTCCTCCTGCGGCCAGCGCGGCCTTGGCATAGACCACGGACGAACCGCTGAGGACGGGGAGGCGGATTAGTGTTAGGAGAAAGAGAATAATGATGATGAGGAGGAGGACCAGCGTAAGCCCTCCAAGTTCTCTCTTCACAGTTTCCTGCAATGATATATATATATATATTCATATATATATATATACATACATTTGTGCAAAACGTGATGTGTCTCGCCATCCGTCCTGACTTCACCCTGCTGCCTGTCACGACTGCCTCGTCCATAGCTTTCGCTAATCAAGGGCGTGGGGCACCCTCGGGTCCTCGAACTGCGCCCGCGAGGGCGCCCGCCGCAGCGCCCCCTCTTGCCGCTACGCCCCCGTCCTGGCGAGGGAGCGGGCGCCACTCCGCACGGCCCGCGGGCTGGGATGGCGGGCCGACGGCGCGGCGGTGGTGCAGGCCCTGGCGGCGCCCTGCTTGGCCTCGGCGGCTTCGGCGCGCCGCCCGCTGGAGCTGCGGGGGCCCTGGGCGCGCTGCCAAAGGGCGAGGCTGCCGTCGTGGCAGCAGGAGGAGCGGCCCTCGCAGGTGGAGCTGGACGAGGCCGAGGTGCTGGAGCCCCGCCCGCCAAGGCTGGCAAGGCGGCGGGGGGCCCCCCGAAGGCGAAGGGGAAGGCCAAGGCCAAGGCTCCAGCGAAGGCCGGAGGAGGCCGTGGCCGCGGGGTTCGAGGAGCTGGTGGTCACGGTGCGGGCGGTCCGCCCCCTCTGGCCCTTCCTCCTGGCGGAGCTGCTGGAGGAGCTCCCCCCCTGCCAGGGCCCGCGGCCGCGCCGCCTTTGGCAGCGGGGGTCACGCCCGCCATGGGCGTCGTCTTCGGAGGCGCCTGCGGCGGCCCCCTCGGCGGCGGAGGCGGAGCTGCCGGCTGGCGGTTTCCCTGGGCCCACGGCTGGAGGCTACCCAGGATGCGGAGGCCTGGTGCCGCCTCCCATGGCTGGTGGAGTTGCTGGCGGAGTCGCAGGCGGGTTCCAGGGCGCCCACGGCGGTCTAGCGCTGTGTCCTGGAGGAGGTGCCTTCGCCGCCCTCGGCCGCGCGGCTGGCTTCGGCCCAGGAGGCTAGGGGCAGGCTTGAGGCGGCGCGGGCTGGCACGGCGGCGTGATGCACGGCCTGGCGGCGCCCGCGGGAGGCGCTGGGCCCTGAGTCGACGGGCCATCAGCCCCGCATGCTTTCAGCGGATCGGCCTCAGCCCTGGGAGTTGCGTCGAGGGCGTGCTGCTGGACGTGACTGGTGGCGCCGTGGGGGCGGCCGTGTTCCAGGTGCAAAGCGCTTGGCCAGGCGGCGCCAAATGCTGCTTCGTGGAAGCGTTTTTCTTGGGGACGAGTGTGGCCCAGCTCGCGCCCAAGCTGGCGGGCAGCTTCGGCGCGGTGGGCGGGGCGGTGCTGCGCCTCTGCACCCAGCCTGCTGCGCAGTTTGCCGCCGTGGTTCTTTGGCCACAGCGGTCGACGCTCCACCTCGAGACGCACCGCATGCGTGACACGCGGGGTTTGGTGGAGCCGTGGCTTCAGGCCGCAGGCCCGCCCGCGGCTGGCGGAGACGGCGTGCTGCCTCGAACCCCAGCTGTGCTAGGGATTGCTGCCGCACCAGCTACAGATGACGGAGATGTTCCGACGCCCGCCGGGCCAGAAGATAAGATCACCGAGCTGCGCATGCGTTTGAAACGCCGGGGAGTCCATCGCCTCTCGCGCGGAGGCGGCGCTGGCTGGCAAGCGGGCTCGCAATAATAATAATAATGATAATGATGACGACAGCGACACGAGTTTTGACGACGCCTCACACGTTGATGTAGGACGCCAGCTCGAGACCCTCGCCCGCGATCAGCCAGGTGCACTGCTGGCAATCGGGATGGAGGCCATCAGTCGATGTCTGGCGCGGCGTGGATGGGGCGGCCAATTAAGAGAGTCCGCAGGGCCTGCGTCCCCAAGTCGCGCAGTACATCACCAGCGTCTTCCACGGCCGCCACCCTCACAGCGAGATGGGAGTGAGGAGCGTACGAGAGTTCCGCGCGATAGGCGAAAGCTTGAACGCGCTGCTCCGAGGCGAAATCGATCACCTCGGAGACCTCGTGCAGCGTCTGAAGGCAATCGAGCAAGCGACGGAGGGCGGGCCCTGGCAGGGGGCGGGCCCTGGCAGGTGGCCCAGCATCTGGGGCTGCGCGACGACTTCGGCGCGGGGCCCACTCAGTCGGCGGAGCTGGCCGACGCCGTGAGCAAGCACAAGAAGCTCCACGGGCTCCAGGAGAACGTGGCGAAGGCCCGTAAGTCTGGCGCGGCGGGCTCAGCGGGCCCCCCTCAGCGGCCATCGAGTCCGGGCCCAGCTGCAGCGCTGCCCCAGTCGAAGCGGGCCAAGAACTTCCTGAAGGGGCGCGCGAAAGCAGCGAGCCCTGAGAGCAGCCAAGGCTACCAGCCCCGCAGCCCATGACTCCAGATCCGCCCTACTTCGGCCAATTTCGTAAGTGGGGCCTGGCAATTCCGCCTTACTATTCAAGCCCCGATGATGCCAATTTCCGCCCTACTTTTCCGTTGCTGTTCCCGCGCTACTTTTGTGGATTCCCGCCCAACTTTACGTTGGCTGCCATTCCGAACGTGCGCAGTGAGAAACGCATTGAATGTGTTCCGTGCGGCGTGGCTGTAGCATGGCTCAGACATCTTTTTCCAGGTCAGTTCCACGTTGCGGGGCCGCCGCGCGGGCCTTGTCACTGAAGCCTTCGGCGGCGCTCTCTATGGCGCCGCGAAGCGTGTGAGCGGCGTGCCGGCATGAGGCGGGACCTCTATGCGGACCTTGCCGTCGGGGCCTTCCGTGGAGTTCCGCGCCACACAACTGCGACCACCATGCGCGCGGCAGCGGCGGCGCGCGGGGCGGGTCAGGGGCGGTCGCGCGGCAGGCCGGAAATAGGTCGCAAGGTGGGCGCAAGGAATTGACAATCATGAGGTTGTCGCTCGCCATTTCGAGGCTCGCACTGGCCTTCAAAATGGCGCCCACATTGCCGTCGAGGCGAGCAAAGGGGTTTCAACACGGCGCTAAGGCGGTCCAACACGCCCCCCCGAGACGGCTGAGATAGCTCAAGCTGGCTCCCCCCGGTGCTCCTCTCCTCCTCCCCCTGCTCCTCCTCCTCCTCCTGCTCCTCCTCCTGCTGCTCCTCCTCCTTCCCCCTTCTCCTCCTCCTCCTTCTGCACATCGTCCTTCTCCGCCCCCCCCCCGACATCCGACGTCTTGATTTGTTCAACGCGCGACCCCTGGAGGCCCAGGCATATCAATGTGACGACGCTTCATCATGGGCCTTCGCCTGGCGACCCTCGACGGGCCCCCGAAAGGCGAAAGCGGCGACAATCTTCCGCCTTGGTTTCGGGCGCATCCCGAATGTGGTTTCTCGCGAGGTAAGCTCCGAGTGACAGAGTGACAGACTGGCTGATTGATTGACTGACTGACTGGTTGGCTGACCAACTGACTGGTTGCACCCGTTGCGCCAGCCGCCGAGGGCGCAACCATGGCGAGACCGATAGCAGACGGGCTCATTCTTGACCAGAGCCGAGGGCGCAACGTTATGGCGCAACCAATAGCAGACAGTGTTACTTTCGGCCGCCGAGGGCACAATCTATGGCGCAACCAGTAGGAGACAGATATATATTCTCGGCCGCCGAGGGCGCAATCTATGGCGCAACCACGAAGCGACGGATTCATTCTCGGCCGCCGAAGGCGCAACCACGGCGAAACTAGTGAGAGACGGATCCCATCTCGCCCGCCGAGGGCGCAACTTTTGCGCAATCAGCGGGAGGCGGTTTCACCATCGGCGGCCGAAGGCTCAACGATCGGCGCAACCAATCGGCGACGTTTTTATTATCGGCCGTTGGGGGCGCAACCTCCAGCGCAATCGATGCGCGGCCGGTTTACTTTCGGCCGCCGGGGGCGCAACCCAACCAATAGAAAACAGTTTCACTTTCGGCCGCCGAGGGCGCAACCTATGGCGCAACCAATAGGGTCGGTTTCGCTTTCTTGCACAGGGCGACTGGACACCCGATTACTTCATTTCGCGTCGCCCACCCCTCTGTCCCTAGTTTTTTTTTTGGCGGCCCCCTTTCCTTCAGCACCCCTGTGTTCCCAGCAGCCGAACGCCCCCTCCGCCCCGACCATTTTATTTCGCGTCGCCCCGTCTCCCCCCTCCTTTGCCCCCGGCATTCTCCCCAGCGGCCCCCCCCAACAACTAGGTACCCCTCCCCCCCTCGCCCGCCCCCGCCGCATTCTTTTGCGTCGGCTCCCCGCCCCGCCCACACCCCTGCCACGTCCCTAGAGCCTGCCCCCTTGTGCTGTCCTGTGTTTTTCCTTTCCCTCTCCTTTCCTTCTTCTATGCGCAAAACCCATGGCGCGCATGCCACGTGTTCGGCCGCCGAGGGCGCAACTTATTATGGCGCAGCCAAAAGTAGACGGGCTCATTCTCAGCCGCCGAGGGCGCAACCCATGGCGAAGCCAAAGAGACACGGGGGGCCCATTCTTGACCTGGTGACCTGGTGACCCGGTGACGTGGTGACCCGGGGCTTGGTGACCCTAGGAGTTGTGACCTTGTGACCCGGTGATCTGGTGACCCGGTGAATTGATGACCATGGTGACCTGGTGACCCGGTGACCTGGTGACCTGGTGGCTGGGTGGTGTGGTTCAGGTGACCGAATGATGACCTGGTGACCCGGTGACCCGCGCTGTGACCCACGCAGTGATCGAGAATTCCAGTGACCCATTGACCCGGTGACCCGGTGACCCAGTGATCCGGTGACCCAATGACCTGGCCGGTGACCCAGCGACCCGGGGACCCGGTGACCCAACGCCCCGGTGACCGCGGTGACCCGGTCGGTGACCCAGTGACCCGGTGATTTGGTGATCTGGGGACCCGGTCATAGGGTGGTGTGGGTCAGTTCAACCGCTGTGATTGGGTGCGCTGCGACACAGTGACCTTGTGACCCGGTGACCCGGTGACCCAGTGATGGGTCAAATGACCCGGCGACCCGGCGACCCAGCCGGTGACCCCGTGAACCGGTAATGTGCGTCAGTTGACCCGGTGACCTGGTGACCTGGTGACCTGGTGGTGTGGGTTAGGTGACCTGGTGACCCGGTGACCCGGTAATGTGGGTCAGCTGACCTGGTGACCTGGTGACCCAGTGACCCGGCGGTGTGGGTCAGTTGGCCCAGTGACCCGGTGACCCGGCGGCGTGGGTCAGTTGACCAATTGACCCGGTGACCCGGTAATGTGGGTCAGATGACTCAGTGACCTGGTGACTTGGTGGTGTGGGTCAGTTGACCCGGTGACCCGGTGGTGTGGGTCAGTTGATCGCGGTGACCCAGTGACCCGTTGTTGACCCAGTGACCCGGTGATCCGCTGGTGTGGGTCAGTTGAACCGCGGTGACCCAGTGCGACACAGTGACCCTGTGACCCGGTGACCCGGTGACCCAGCGATGGGTCATATGACCCAGCGGCCTAGCGACCCAGCGACCCGGCCGGTGACCAGGTGACCCAGTAATGTGGGTCAGTTTTGGTGACCTGGTGACTTGGTGGTGTGGGTCAGTTGGCCCGGTGACCCGGTGACCCGGTGGTGTGGGTCAGTTGACCGATTGACCCGGTGGCCCATGCAGTGACCCGGCGGTGTGGGTCAGTTGACCCCGTGACCCGGTGACCTGGCGGCGTGGGTCAGTCGACCCGGTGACCCAGTGACCCCGCGGCGTGGGCCAGTTGTTCCGGTGACCCGGTGACCCAGTGACCCATTTAAAAAATTCTAAACCTAAATCACCTCAGAACCGAATTTCTGAGACGTCAGTCATAAGGATTTGTGAAACTGTTGTAATCTTGTATGTCAGGCGAAAAGACGCGGCGCCAAAACGAGAACATCGTTGTGAAAAGGGGCCCGCCCCCCATCCGCGAAACACGTGCAAACTGTGAAGACGACTGCGCGCAGCGCCCAAACGAGACATGCTTTTTTTGTTTCAAGAAGGACCCGCCCTCCGTCCGGGAAAAGTCGGGGGCGGAAAAGAGGGGGGTGATGACTAGGGGGGGGTGGATATCATGGCGGGGGCAATGATATTTCCCCAGATCTCATGGCGCCTCTTCTAATTTCATTACGTCCCTGGGCCCCCCGCTGGGCCGCGCACATGCCGCCGGTCATGATTTGCACCCCCCCCTCTTGGACGCCCCCCTCTAGGCCGCTCCCGAAAACGACACGTGCGAACTCTCGAGACGAGCGCGCGCGGCGCTGCGGCGAGGGCCACATCTCGAGAGCGGCACGCCCTCCGCCCGCGCAGCTCTGCCACGACGAGGACGAGCGCGGTGCCGGCGCTGCGGCGGGGGCCACGCTCTGAAGACGGCGCGCCCCCCACCCGTGCAGCGCGGGCAAATGTTATACAGTGAGCGGCTTGAATAAGGAACACTTACTTTTCAAAAGGGGCTCGGTCGTTCCTTAGATTTTACATGCGGTATTTACCGTTCCTTATGCGATCTCTATTATTTCTCGTTCCTTATGCGTTGTTCCTTGGGATAAAAAAGGGGCTTCGTTCCTTATCTATCGTTCCTTAGGTCAGGCCGATGACTGCAGGGCGCGGCGATCAGGCGAGGGCCGCACCTTCGAGGCGACCCGCCCTCCACCCGCGAAGGCGCTGCAGATCCTCAGCTCCGGGGGCACACTTCTGAGGCGCGGCGAGCCGGCGAGGGCCACATGCTGAGAACGACCCGCCCTCCGTCCGTGAGGGTGTTGCAGATCCTCAGCTTCAGGATCGCACTGCCAAGACGCTGAGGTAAGGACCGCTTTGGGTTCGGAGGGGGCTCGGGGATCTGGGTCGTTTCTTAGATCTGTGCTGCGGGATCTGCTTGGGGCCTGGGCCCGCCGTGGCCAGAAGAGCCCTTTTGTTCCTTATCTGGCGTTCCTTCTGGTAGTACCTCGACTGTGCACGATTCAGGAGGGAAAGAAACACACAGACACAATGAATCGCCGACTCCCAGGAAAATGTGCATAAATATGGGAAGTAGGGGGGGAAGACAAAAAAACAAAAATATTAGGAAGTATAGGAATTATTTTATTTGTGTGTATTCATTTGTGTGTCCCAGGGCCCCTCCAATGATGAGGTCCCTGGCGAAACGCCCGACACGCCCGGCCCGCCCTGCGGGCGAACCTCGGGGTGCGACAGGGAGGTGCTGTTTATCAGGAGAGGAGATGGAGGAGGAGGAGGAGGAGGAGGAGGAGGAGGAGGAGGAGGAGGAGGAGGAGGAGGACAAGCGGCAGGAGGAGGAGGAGGAGGAGGAGGGAGAGGGGGATGGGCATGTGGAGAAGGAGGAGGAGGAGGAGGGGATGTAGGAGGAGGAAGAAGACGATGAGGATAGCAAGCGTCGGGCACCGTCGGGACACAAGTAGACAGCTCGTCCAGGCGATTTGCAGAGCTTTCGGTAGCGCCGGCGTGGCCGCGGCACCTCAGTCCATGGCTCTCGCTGCACCTGTTCGTGTCCTGCACTCGTCTGAAGGCCGGAGCCGTCGCCCTTGCACGTACCGAGGCGCTGGCCCCGGGGAGGCCTTCGAGCTCACCGTCTCGCAGAAGACTCGCGTGGACTTCTCGATATGGCAGGACGGGCCCCGCCGTCCTCCTCCTGGATGCCCCTCCTCGTGCCCTGCCCCCCCCGCCCTCCCGCTCCGCTCCCTCTCCTGCTGCCCCTCCCTCTCTCCCCCCCCCCCTCCCTCCCGGCCCCTTTGGCCTTGCCCCTTCCCCTGGAGCCCCCCGATGAGACCCCCAGTTCCCAGGGCGCTGAGCGCCCTGCAGGGGCGACACTGGAGGCGCACCGGCCTGCCCTGGGATCCTGTCAAGGCCAGCACGTGCTGCCTGCGGGTGCCGCCCCTGCGCTGCCTCCAGGCCTTGCCAAGCAGGGCAGACCCTGGGGGAGGGAGGGAGAAGGGCAGCGTGGCTTATCAACCCCAAGGCCCGCAGCAGTGCAGATGGAGGAGGAGGAGGAGGAGGAGGAGGAGGAGGAGACAGCCTCGCGTCTCACCCTGCCCTCGCCGCAAGCGGTAGCTGCCACTGAGACCCGTGGATTGGGGGGCAAGCCCCTCTGGATCCGCGCAAGGTTATCGCGGCCTTTAGGATTAGGAGTCTCCCCTCCGCAAGCCCCTGGGAGGTGGCAGGGATTGATGGTGCTAGTGTACCCGCAACGGGAACAACAGAACAAGTTATGGCGGGGCCAAAGCTGCAAGAAATGGGACTCGTGCAGTTCCTTCCCACGGCCCGCGCTTCCCACCCCCGCCTCACCAATGATGAACGCAGGATGCCTCTCGGGGCGTCCTTCCACAGCGTGGCAAGCGGTGGCGCACTCGGCCTCTGGCGTGCTGGCAGCGACGGGCTTGTGGCACATCGCCCAGGCCCGGTGCCTCCCCGCCCCGACAAGACAGCGGGTGGATGCAGACAGAGCCTTTTGGAGAGCAGGCTAGGGGGGGGGGGGGCACGGGCGGCGGCGCTCCTCTCTGCAGCCTGGGGAGCAGCCGCCGCGGCGTCGACAGATGCCCAGAGGGCGCGCCTGCGCACCAACGCCGCCGTGGAGTCCCACACGTCCGAGTCGGGAGCCCTCCCGACTAGAGTGGCCGACGAGGCGCGCCTCGAGGCTTCGCCCGCGAGAGCGTAGGCGGCGTAGTCCCGTTGTCCATGCGCCTGTCCCAATCGGGCAGGGCAGGATCGCTGGGATCAACGTGGCTCCCTCTCCGCTCCTCTTGGCGGGAGCCGCCTTAATGAGCCTCCGAAAGTCTGCTGTGTGGCCCATGGGGTGGGAGGAGGAGGAGGAGGAGGAGGAGGAGGAGGAGGAGGAGGAGGAGGAGGAGGAGGAGGAGGAGTTGTGAGCCCTTTCACCCACACGTGCAGAAGCGGGGCACAGTCCGTGACACACAGCACTGGGCCAGCGAAGTGCTGCTTGCTGGCGAGAACGCGCGGAGCTCGGCCCTGGGGGCCTTCAGCCAGTGGCCCTCCAATTAGGCCGCAGTCGACTCCAGCCACCCTCTCTCCTCCTCCTCCTCCTCCTCCTCCCTCCACCTCCTCCTCCTCCCTCCTCCCTCCTCCCCCCCCTCCTCCTCTCCCTCCTCCTCCCCCTCCTCCTCCCCTCCTCCCCCTCCTCTCCTCTCCTCCTCCTCCTCCTCCTCCTCCTCCTCCTCCTCCTCTCCTCCTCTCCTCCTCCTCCTCCTCCTCCTCCTCCCACCCTCTCGAGTCCACGACGGGTACATTTCATGACGACTGCTGCCGACCCGTCTCGCCGTCGACGGGCGTCGCCACTAAGCTGGCCTCCTGAGTCAACGCCACAGACAAGAAGCTTGTCCTCAGAGGACCAGCCCACGGCCATGAGGTCGGCCGCAAGCGGTATCTCCTCGTCGTCTCCTTCCATCGGGGATTGCTACAGGTGCCGCTGGCCCAAGGTGCCCCCGGCTTTCCGTTCAATTTTGGAGACCTTGGAGCTTTCTTGCCCTCGTAAGGGGTGCTCTGGAGGCCGCGGGGGCCTCCTTGGAAATCCTGAGGGCACCTTGGGCCAGGAGCGCTTCTAGCAACACCCGATTCCACCCCCACCGTCCACACCCGACCTCCCCCCCCCGCCCGAGAAGCACGGATGGGTGAGAGACGCGGGAGGGAGGCTTTTAAGCCACAGGGAAGTTGTTCGTGGCCCGCCAGGGCTGCGGGAATCAACTCGGATTCGCGAACGTGAAGCAAAGTTAGACTCCCCGCTGGCCCTCCTCGTGTCCTTCGCGCGCGCGCGTACGCCGCCGACCTGCCGCTGTTTCAGCCGTAGCCATTTTGGCTCAAGCTTTAAAGGGAGGGGGCATTGCACCGCTCAGGCTTCGTGCATGCCCGACCTGCTCGCGCCGCGCAGCCAGGCGGCCGTGCACGAGTTGCTCAAGGCGCTTCCTGAGCCCAGCCACGGCGGCAGCCTCCCCGCAGGCGGCGCGCCGGCGCCCTCCCCCTTTGGCTGCCCGCCCGGCGACTGGGGCCAGGGCCCTGCTGGCTGGGTCAGCGCCGCGCCGGCGGCGGTGCAGGCGCAGGAGCGGGCGCAGGCCTCCCAGGCCGCCCAGAGCAACCTATTCTTGGCCAGGGTGGTCGCGGCTGTGGCCAGCCAGGACACGACGGCGCTCGAGGAACTCACGGCGGAGACGGAGACCGCCGCTTCGCTGCGCAAGCTGGTCATGGATTCCGTACAGGGAGAGCCGCTGCGCTCCCTGGAGCCAGACGAGGCGGCCTTGCGCGGCGCCGCAGCCGCCCGCAAGGCGGCCCGCTTCCTGGCCTATCCAGGGCCCAAGGCCGAGGACGCCTGCCGCCTGCGGCGCCCGGTGGCTCAGACGCTGTGCCGCGAGCTTCCGCGCCTCTGGGCCGCTGCGATGTCGTGGGGCGTTGCGAACGACCGGGCCGCGCCGCAGCGCGTGTCCAAGCCGGCCGCTGCCTTCTACTCGGCGCGGCTGCTTCACGAGGCCTACGACGCGAGCAAAACGGGAGAGGGCGACGCCGAGGGCCGCGGCAACGCGAGCGCCGTCCTCGGCGCCCTCGACCGAAGCCTCCTGGCGGCGAGCCAGACCGAGGTGGCGCGCCACCAGCAGAAGAGTCCCGCTGGGTCCTCGCCACACTGCGATTCGGAGGAGCAGCAGCAGCAGCTCGCCTTCCCGCGCAGGCGCTTCCTGCTCGGGCAGTGCCCGAAGAAGGACAAGGGCACCTTCCGCCACGGGTGCCCGTTGTGCCCCACTACAGGCGCCGGGTCCTTCCGGCGCTTGCTCGGCCACCTCGCGCACGGGCGCGAGCTGGTGCGCCGGCGGGGCGGGGGGCCCGATTCGAGGGGGCGCCCGCGGGGCCGCTCCCGGTCGCCGCGCGCAGGCGGACAGGGAGTGCGCGGCGGCGGCCGCGGGCCCGCCAGGGGTTGAGCGGCCGAGCTTCGGCCGCGGGAGGGCAGCGCCTCTGCCTGGGCAGCAGCGAGCCCTGCGCCAGTCGCGAGTGGATCCCCGCTTCCGCGCCCGCTGGCGCCGGAGGGGATGAGTGCGAACGGTGCGGGGGCCTTGCCTTGCCCCCCCTCACCTCTGGTATTCCTTTGGCGGGAGACATAAATCAGCTCCTGCGTTTTCCTTTTCAGTACAATCGCTGTCTCTCTGTTTCCGCCCGAATCCAATCATCCCCCACATCGTGATTAAAGTCGTTTCTCCATGCACTTATCCGGGGGCCCATCCAATGAATGTAAATACAGTTAACAGCATGTTATTCCTCACATTGGGTATATATGTTTTCACAGATTCAGTCAAGTGTACCATGTGTATATCCAACGCCACCTCATTCGTAGTCTCGGACTCACTCAAGGCCAGACACACATACTCACACACACGCACACACACACACGCACACACACACACACACACACACACACACACACACACACACTTGTGTCCGCTCATACTCAGGCCCGGGAGGGCAAGGCAGGGGGGAGGTGAGTCACCACCCCCTGCCTTGCCTTCTCGCCCGCTTCCCCTCGGCGAGCGCGCCAGTCGCGAGTGAATCCCCAGCTCGGCGCTCGCTGGGGCCAGAAGGGATGAGTGCGGAAAGCGTGCGGATCTCGCCTCCTCCTCCCTCGCCTCCCTCCTTTCTCCCCATCCGCCCCCTTCAGTCTAGCGCGGGCCTCCTGGCCCCCGCCCCCGCCCCCGCGGGTTTCCGCCTGCCGGGGGAAGGGTGCTTTGCAGCGGCGCCCGGATGGATTGCAGGCCAAACAGCGGCCGCGCATCCGAGGCAGACCTCGCCAGCGCTGCCTGCTCGTGACTTTTGCCCAGCGCAGCGTTTGGAGGCATCGCTCCGCTTGGCTGCGGTTGGTGAACATCCGCATATCCATCCGCCCGTCATTGCCGAGGGCACCGCTGCGGCTTTCGCGGCCCAGTGCCAGTTTGGCCGCGCCACAGAGGAGGCGCGCCTTAAACGGCTGGCGCTTCTGAGGGTGCGGGAGCGTGAATTGCGCGAGGGGCAGATGCGTCTGGCGGCGGCAGCAAGCAAACCCACCCTCCTGTCCTTCCGTCTCCTCCGCCTCGTCGACTCTCCGGCTGTCGCTTTTTAGAGAGGCTTCGCAAGGGGCCCCGCGACACCGGCGCGCCTGTCGCGTCAGGCATTTTCCCGCCTATCCCGGGGGCGAAGCCGAAGTGGGCCGTGGAGCAGCTGCCGGCGCGCAGCCGAGGTCGCAATCTTGGGCTCGTCGGCAAGTTGCGTCGGAGGCACTCTTTTTCAGTAGGGCTCAGGCGCCGGGGCGCGCAGGCTGAGTCGACGGGGTCGCTGGGCCACGCGCGGCGGGTCGACGTATTCCTCTCTGGCGAAGGCGGAGGGCCGAACGTGGTCTTCTGTAGGAAGTTCCTCCTTCAGCGGCGGCGGTGGTCCGACGGGGAGGCCGCCGCGCCGTCGCGCTCGGTGGAAGTGCGCGCGCGCGGGCGCCCCCGACTCTCCAGGGGGCTTCTGTTCTAACTTGGCGCGGGCTGCGGCCGAGAAAATCGCGCGCTCGGACGGCGAGGCCATCCCGTCGCAGATGGCGTCTTCCCAGCGAGCCTTCGGGGTTCCGCCTGTGAGATGCAAGGGCGACCCGCGCAAAG